AAGAAGATCATCTAGCCTCATACCCAAAGGAGCAAAGCTAGCCATCTTCAAGAGTATGGAACCCACCTCTTTGCAGAACACGAAGATCGTCATACCATCCCTCACCCATGTACGAACATCTCGGCACATCTCCAAGTACAGTCTTTGCCCTTTCCTTTTCTCCAGTGGAAGGGTTTCGAAGCCGGCTAATATGCTGGGTCCATCGCCCGAAAGTCCGGTTCTCTTGCGGAACTCGACGAGTGTTCTCATGCATGCTAACCATCTGTCCAGAGCCACTTTACACTTTTCGTACTCATTGTTCAGCGCATCTTTTAGCTCCTCGGAGTATTGCACAGCTGTACTTTTGATGCGCTCCATAGTGTTCTGCATGTGTGCGATCTCATGACGTCCAGCGTTTTGTGATTCGAGAAGAACAAGTAGCTGGATTCCCAGCTCTCCGCGATCAAGAAGCGGCTGGTTTGCCATCGAGCCTAGACTTTGAACAGCATTCTCATTCCTGACTTGATCGTCGACTATCGCTGGCGTTACAGGACGGAGGGTTGTGCGAGGTTGATTCGTACGGCGTGAGCTCGATGCTGGTTGTGTTATCGTTGGCGCCTTCTTCGCGTTGCTTCGTACAGTCCGTGCGGCTGCGTTCTTCATCCCTACCAGCTCGCTTCGCTGCGGCTTCCTCTTGACCGTTCTTGTGGTTTTGGCACTCCAGGGCTTCCTTGGAGATGCCACAACAGCTACACGTTGGGTAGTGGATCGTTCTGGAGTTCGAACTGGATTCTGAGATGCTCCTGATGATTGCAGCTGACGTAGGGAAACAGTATTGACTTTCTCTGCGTGTTTGGTTTTCCTTGAAGCGCCAGCCTCGTAATCAGGGCTCAATTCATCAATATCATCACTGGATGATAACGTAGGGCTGCGAAGAAGCTCATCGCGATTCACGCGGACTGCTGCCACGAAGCTTGAAGGTCTCGTTGACGCTTTCACGCGTGCTTTGTAAGCTTTGTTCTTTCCACTGGCTTCGACCTTTCGACAGGCGCGCTGGACGATCCACGCAGAGACTTGCAATCGTATTCTATGTCGAGTGAACTTAGTACCTCGCGCTTGAAAACAATTTTGTTGGCGGACTGACTTACTTGCGTTGATCACTTCGATTTTCGTAGATCAGATGCCTTGGATACGTGCTCTCTGCAATCTTGGTACGAGTCTTGACTTTCGAAGACTTCTGGACTCTGAAGGTATCGTTGACTTTGAACTTCTTGCTGACTCTGCTAGGGGTATCGACACGTGTAACGAAAGGTCCTTTAACACCATTGTTCCAGACATGATGGCCGAATTGTTCTAGGCAATCTCTTGAGATTTCCTCCAGACAGATGCGTCGATCTCGAAGAGCATCGCGTATGGCGTTTCTTGTCTTGTATCGCGTCGCAATAGACTCGACAATGGGCTTCGTCGAATCCCAGAAGCGTTGAACATCAGGTACTGACTTGAAGTCTGGTATGCCGGACTTGCCAGGATCCTTGGCTAAATTGATGAGCCCAAGACGTGACAGATATACAACAGCGTGTATTCCCCCCTTGGTGCATTCCTCGATCAAGCTCAGGGAATCATCATCTGGTGGCATAACCCCAGGATCAGTGAGTTCTGTTACTGTTAATTAGTCAATGTCTTCTTTCTCAGAATGCATATAGGGGATATTGTGCGCACCTTCGAAGTAGAATCGAAGTCGTAGAGACTACAGGGCGTTGATAGCGTCTGAAAGTGATTGCTTCGATGTGATGAACACAGTAAGCGCAATACAGAGGCTACCGAAGAAGGACGAGGTTATTCTGCAGTGCCGTGCTGCGAGACTCCCCATGTGGTATGCAGAGAGGGCATCCTAATGCTTTACTTATAACAACACAGCAACATCTACATACCAGAGTATGTTTTGTGCCCAGAAAGATGATGATTTCGGCAGCCAAGCGCAGGACTATTTCGCCGAATCGCCGGAAGGATTCATACCTGGAGAAGAATCTACTCCTCGCATACTATGACTCATTTACCTGGTGGTTTCCCGGAATCGGGTACGCTATGCCAGAACAGCTACTGTGGTTCTACCAGTAGAGAAGCTTGGACGACACTCGCAGCTCCTATTCTGAGGATGTAATTTCGGGGAACGTCGCCTCGTGCCAGATTGCTTCCATGATCGGCGACCAAGGACCTTCATAGCTCTACACAAAGTCAGCCCATTGGCTGAAATGATGTTGAGATGATGTTGAGCTGCAAGACGTCCAAGTACGTTAGGCAACAGGCCAAGATCTGGTCTGAGAGCGTCCCTTGCGGATTTCGAGCGGAGCGGAGATTACGTCCTACCCACTCCAGATTCCCTGCTGTTCTTCAACGGGAGGAGCGGTGCTCGTTCCCCAGCGAATCGTTGCTGATCACCCAGTGCCTTATCAGACGGTTGTAGCAAAACCGTTGCCGCAGGCCGTGCGTTCGGGATCTCATAGGCTGTAAGCCAGCCATACCTTGAAGGAAATCATACATCTTTCGTGGGAAATACGAGGAATGAAAGCTTGGCCACACTAATGTTTCAAAGATTGTGTCACAGCAAGAAACTGGCGCTCTCGATGAGTCCGTCTGGTCTCGGGAATAAAGAACTGCCTAGGCTGGCGTTGCCGATGACCCTCCGCAGCGTAGGCAATGGTGCTGACAAGACCAAACCCCTGGGAATAGAAAAGTAAAGGAAGATAGACACCGTGATTCAAAGGGTGGCTGCAATAGTTCTCATGCGCAGACTGATGGTTTGTGGCTTGTCGAGCCGAGACTGCATGGCACGTGAGTCCGAATCGCACACGTTAGCGAGTGATTGGCAATAAGAGAAAGTGCTGAGTACCATTATCGGTGAAGCTTTGGGGATTTTGCGTCGCTTCTACCTGGGAGCGTGCATGCACTGCATATTGTCTAGTGGCTGATACACGAACACTGACGCTAACTCGATTCATCTGTAGAGGCAACCGCGCCGCATTGCTGCCAGCATCTTTATCCTGCCGGTGAAGGACCTGGCAATAACTAGCGACCCCTTACGCCCCTTTCTTGCGGCGGAACGCACCGCGTACGTTCCTATTCAATTTCCTGGGTCGGAGGCGCACACCACAGGGGCCGGGAAGAAATAAGGAGTCCAGGAGCCGGACCCCCTAGTCTATGGCGTCGCCTTAGCCGACGTTCCGACAATTGTAGGTCCGAGGCAGGGGTCATATGTTCCGATCCCTAGTGAAGATCGGCCCGGAGGACATTTCGGACGTCTGTCAAAATGCAGCGTTGACTTGATCGAGTAGAAAGAGTAGGTTAAAAACGTACAGTTACTTCCATAACGCCATGTACTGATTTCCTTCCAACGAAAAAAACAGATCAACAAACTCCTGACCCTTGTGTAACCTACAATAACAGAGATGGAACATGCGCGAAAGCCCTAATTGAACCCCACACCCAGAAAAGTCAACATGCTGACCTATTCAGTCCCCAGAGACTGATCTCGCGATGCGTTCTTTGTATAAACAGCAGAACGCATGCCATATAGAAGAGTTCGGTTTCTTGGTAAGGACGATCCCGTATTCTCACGCATGCACGCTGAAGGATCCAGCAAGACACGAGCGTTTTGATGCTGTGAGGAATACGTTAGCTAGTTCTCAGACCCATTGTTACAATACTGACTCGACGCGATCTTGATCGTCTTCGTACAAGAGGTAATCGGGGCGAACATAGTCCTGGTTCAGTTCGTCGATGTCGTTGGCGCATGTCTTGAAGGAACTATTGTGGTTCCATAACCAGGGACCATGCTCCTTCAGGAGCGGCTCTATGCTCGCATCGAGAAAGGTAGGCTGTGAACATATCGTCTCACATAAATCTCCCACGGAGAGATACGTGTCGACGATTTGATCCACAATCTCTTTAGTCGCTTTGTTGAGGTCGCTGGCTATGCCCTCGTATCTAGGGCGTCCTCGTTTGGTTGCGCCTTTGTTACCTACAGAGGGTTGTCGGAGACCCAAAGGCTCGGTGTAATGATGAACTCGGGCTGTTTTGAAGGTAGCTTCGAGTAGTCTTCCCAATGTTTCGGGTGCTTTGAGGGTCGCCATGTGAGAACCCGCATTGAGAGTCGGCATTTGGAGCCAAAACAGGTGGCGAATGATGAAACTGGAAGAACGTCAGTCAAGATATCAGACAGTGGACGCGTTGCTTTTAGCGCACGAAAGCGTCACATCTCCCAATAAAGCACCCACGAATTCGTAAAGATCGCTTACCTGTCGGAGTTTTGCGAGTCTGCACAAACAGAGAGGTGCTGGGTCGGAGATTTTAGGTACAAGCTGGATTATGCAACAAGAACTCAGCTTTGAGAGAGTAGATGATTCAAGTATGCAGACGAACCTTGAGCCCTCACTGTCCTCCACAGCAACTCTCAGCACGAACAGCGTGGCTCAGAGACATATGCCGTCCCGGGCTTGTCTCAGTGACCATTGTTGTTCGAGCGAGACCCGGCTCGCTGCCACTGGAATGTTCTGGCTTTCCACAAAGCTTGTGGCCACGCATTGTGAGTCAGACATGCCAGGTGGGCAGATGAGTTCTCGTTGGCGCCAAAAGGTCTCAGCCGAATCAGTGGGTCTCATTCGCCGACATCATTAATGACACATCGGCCGGGATTCCGGGATATCTTCTTCGCGAGGCCCTGCATGCAGTCCGGTTTCGTGTTGTGCTGTTTGGTGCAAGTCGGGTGGAGTGGAAGCCGCGAAGACGGCACCAGCCTGCAGCAATACTTAGCGCGAACGCGTGACGTTATCGAAGTTGCAAACAATGGTGTTGTGAAGTTGACTATAATTGGATTGCCGTTAATCAACTACCTCCTCCCTGCTAACTTTCAGCCAAAAGTGCCCAGTCGTCCTCCATGACATCAATGAACGTCCGCCCATCTTGTCAACGCCCAGAACAGCAAACAAACAAAACTTTCTAGGACCGCTTTTGCGCCACCCACCTTATTCAGAGCTGTCTAGCTTGTCTGTGATCGCCAGCAGCTCATTCTGAATGTCCGCCCCTTGCTTGACTTTGACCTTCTTCGCCTCTGGTCCAGCGCTAATCCCAGCGGCCTCAGCGTTCCGATTAGTAGTGAAACCTGCATATACTGCAGCCATGTCACCGGGAATAGGTCTAGGTCGCTTCCGCATGGCTGCTGCTGGGATGTCGAAGTACGGTGAGCCCTGGACAGCCCTGTCGGTGATGCTCAGTGGCTTGATGTTACCGTCTATAGGACCAGGGACGTAGGGACTAGGCTTGAGCATAGCCGGCATGGTACCGCTGAGCGAAATTTGGGTGCTAGCCTCGATTCTCTTTGCTTGCGCATCCTCTGCTGCTCTCTTCACGCGCCAGTTAGGGGTATATTCTGGCGAGGCGGGGCGACCACAGAACTCATATTCGGCTGTCTTGTTGCGAAGAAGTGGACCCCTGGCGAATACCGTGGTAGAGTTTTCGAGATATGCTGGCCGGCCACGATTCGGCCTGCTGGCTTTGATGTTGCCCAGATTATCAAAATCGTAGGGCCAGAATGTGCTGAGCTCCTTCGCAGTATACGTTTGGGAGTTGTAGACGGCGTAGCAGGCTTTGTCGTCGAGGTATACATACCTTAGGGGCTCCCTTCTGCCATAGATAATGGGACGTGGTACCTTCCCCATGTACATCTTCCAGGTTGGATGACCGCGGACTGTAGTCTTCGACCGCATAACGAAGGCCTTGTTGGAGTCGCCATTGCCATCGCCATGGTGCCAAAGGATTCGCATTCGTTTGCCGTCGGAGACCATTGTATTCTCCCGACCGGGGGTTGCTGCTGCAATGTATCCAGATTTGACCATGATGTATCCGTCTGAGTGTTATTTTACCTTACCTTCCAGAAAATTTGACGTATGCAGGCGGATACAGGGGTTTGCGGGAGCTGGGGATTGTAGGGCTGCTTATTTGATGCCTGGAATTATGAATGGAAAAGAAAGGGGGACTTACCACTGAAATGAATGAATGATGATGATGATGATGATGATGATGATGAAGGGAAGCTCGGTTAGAACGATATGGGGGAGGGAAGAGGAGTCGTGCACTGAGGGAGGAGTATTATATAGAACTTCAAGAGCTCTGCTGCCAGCGAAGGCGGAAGCCAGTAATCACGTGGCAAGTGAGACGTACCTTGAAATCCACCATGATCCACTACCACGAGGTTTAGACAAGAGGAATGATGGGTGTTGATAAGATGCCGCGCTATATAATCAGGGTCTCCAGCAAGACAGCTCGTAGCTATCGGACATTCCACACAACAAACTAAATGTTCGATGACCTGCGATCAACGAGACTACCATTAGCTTGTCCTAAAGGCGTGTGCCGTCCTTCGTGGAGATGTCCCGCGACGTTTTAGATATGTACTTGTAATTGATGTCGAATACTTGACGAAATTGCGAGAATACGAATCCATTAATGCTCGACATGAACAGGATAAGAGGACGACACTGTACAGTGACAAGAGCTTTACTTGAAGAGCGTTGATCTATAGCAACATGGCTCAAATTCGCGGAAATCCATGGATTGTAGGAGCTCAGAGTCGTGTTACGAGTGCATCTGGACGAAAACAGTGTAATTGCGTTCTTGCGGCATCTCGTCGATGGTCCGTGACGATGATGATGATGGTGCGGTCGAGTCGGACCTTCCTGGCGGATTGATGTCAACGATGTTGGCTCGGGCCAATCAAAGACGCCAAGAAAACGGTAGGTCATCCAGATCGAACTTCACGACCGCCACCACTCGCATCGCCAGACCCAACGCTCGCTGGACCCCCGAGCATCAATTGCGCGAGACAACACACATACGGCAATCACGATGCTCGCACGACACGCACCTGCCTCATCGGCGCTCAGCGCGGCCGCCCACCGAACGCTGCCCGCGGCTTCGGCAGCTACTCGCCTTTCGGCCGCCCCCCAGAACCGCACACAGAAGAGGACGCTCGCGACGGTCCAGGATGCGCCACCAAAGAGGACATATGGCGGCTTGAAGGACCAGGACAGGATCTTCCAGAACTTGTACGGACACCACGGCGCGGATCTGAAGAGCGCGCAGAAGTACGGTGATTGGCACAAGACGAAGGAGATCCTGCTCAAGGGTCACGAATGGGTGTGTAGAGGCTATCGTACACGGCATACGAATCAAGGCTGACGGATATAGATCATCTCTGAGATCAAGGCTTCTGGTCTCCGTGGCCGAGGTGGTGCTGGTTTCCCCTCTGGTCTGAAATGGGTAGGCAACGTCAAGATCTGTTACCGCGACCTCTGCTAATGGATGCAGTCATTCATGAACTTCAAAGATTGGGACAAGGACAGCAAGCCCCGCTACTTGGTCGTCAACGCCGATGAGGGTGAGCCCGGAACCTGCAAGGACCGCGAGATTATGCGCAAGGACCCCCACAAGCTCATCGAGGGCTGCCTCGTCGCTGGCCGTGCCATGAACGCTACCGCTGCCTACATCTACATCCGAGGAGAATTCTACCACGAAGCCACCGTACTCCAGCGCGCCATCCAGGAGGCATACCAAGCCGGTCTCATCGGCAAGAACGCCTGCGGTTCCGGATACGACTTTGATGTCTACATCCACCGAGGAATGGGCGCCTACGTCTGTGGTGAGGAGACCTCCCTCATCGAGTCGCTGGAGGGCAAGCCCGGAAAGCCCCGCTTGAAGCCTCCGTTCCCCGCTGCCGTTGGTCTTTTCGGATGCCCTTCCACTGTCGCCAACGTCGAGACTATCGCGGTCGCACCCACAATTTGCCGACGAGGAGGCAGCTGGTTCGCCGGCTTCGGTCGTGAGCGCAACCAGGGTACCAAACTATTCGCCATCTCCGGTCACGTCAACCACCCTTGCACTGTAGAGGAGGAGATGTCCATCCCTCTCCGCGAGCTCATCGACAAGCACTGCGGTGGTGTCCGTGGTGGCTGGGACAACCTGAAGGCCATCATTCCCGGTGGTTCTTCGACCCCCGTTCTGCCCAAGCACATCTGCGACGACCAACTGATGGACTTTGACGCGCTCAAGGACTCGCAGTCTGGTTTCGGTACCGCCGCTGTCATCGTCATGGATCAGTCCACAGATATCGTCCGCGCCATCACCCGTCTTGCTAAGTTCTACCACCACGAGTCCTGCGGGCAGTGCACACCCTGCCGTGAGGGATCAAAGTGGACTCACCAGATTATGGACCGCTTCTCCAAGGGCCAGGGTCGTGAGCGTGAGATCGACATGCTCCAGGAGTTGACCAAGCAGGTCGAGGGTCACACCATCTGCGCGTTGGGCGAGGCCTTCGCATGGCCGCTCCAGGGTCTCATCAGGCATTTCAGGCCAGAGCTTGAGGCTAGGATGCAGGACTACGGATTGAAGAACGGTGGTCAGGCGCTGGCAGGTGGATGGGCACATGATTCCGCCAAGAAGGGTCTTCTTGTCTCGCCCGGCCAGTAGAGGAAGAGCTGGGAGATTTGTACTATGCATATTCCGTGTGTTTGAATTTTGATTTCGGCGTGCAATTACTTTGAAGAGCTGAGCTGTAAATAGTTTCTCGGCGCAAATAAAGCAAGATTGAAATTGACTCGCATGACATCCTTTCTCGCAGTCATCACAGCAACGCCCGAAACGCCTTGCAAACGAAAGTAACAGTATTTCCCTCGCCCTCGCTCTCAGGTCCCCATGCAAATCTGGATAAACTCCTCCCTCGAAATCGCGTTATCGTTGTCCATGTCGAACTCCTCAATCATAGCCACTAATTCATCATGCGACAGCGCCTCACCCAACTCCCTCGCAACACGTGTAAGATCCTGCAGGGTAATCGTCCCCTTCCCGCCCTCGTCAAATAGCTCAAAAGCCCTAAGAATCTCATCTCTCGGATCACGACTCAAGATCCTCTGCGCCATGAGCGTCTGGAACGCCTGAAAGCTCAGCAACTGTCTTCCAGGCGCCGCATACTGCTGCTGTTGTTGCTGTCTCGAACTCTGCTTCCCACCCTGCTGGCCCCCTTGCGTCCCATACTGCTGCAGAATGCCCAGAATCTCCTGCTTGGGCAAATCAAACCCGAGTGCTTTCATCGCCACTTTGAGCTCGTGGTAGTCGATGTAGCCGTCCTTGTCGAGATCGAAGAGGTTGAAGGCTTCGCCGATTTCTTCTCGTTGTTCTTCTGTGAGTTCCGCGAGAGAGGCGGCGCCGGAGGCTTCCATGCGTTGGGCGGTTTCGCGCGCGGCGCGCTCGCGTTCTAGGCGCTCGGATTCGAGGCGTTGGGCGTTTTTGGGGTTGGGTGGGAAGGCCGGTGTGCTGCTGAAGGTGGGTTGCGGTTGGGTGGGTTGTTGGGGTGGTGCGGTGCGGTTTAGACCGTAGCGTGGGCCAGGGCCGAGAGGGTTGGAGGATGTCGCCATGGGGAGGGAGGTGGTGGTGGTTGAGGATGGGTGTTGTGGGATTGGTGGGGTGCGCGAGGTGGTGGTGGACTTGCGCGCGCGGTCTGTTGGGCGAGATATAGGCCCAAAGAATATTGCGAGGGTTCACGAAGGCTGCAAATGTATCTCGTTGAGTTGCGACAATTCTTCTCGCTATTTGGAGATTCTCGATGTGGACGAAGATGCGCAGTTGTTTGGGACGCGAGGCGCGTCGGGCGTGCGAGCTTAGCTGCAGCTCTAGCGCGATTTGGCCTGGCAGTGGGGAATTGAGTTGTGTAGGGCTGACAGAGGCCCTGGCATACGATTACGATGTAAATTCTGGTGAATATCAAGTTTAGTATCTGTTCATCGATTCTTCTTCCGAAAGCGGTCTCAGCAACTTCCTGCGTTTGATCTGTTCAATGAACAAACAAGACGGCTCGATTACTGCCACGAATCTCCATGCAGCTGATCGAACCACCGAGGCAGTTAGAGCGCAAGCAATATGCATTGCATGTAAGCTACCCACATTCGACTGCCTATCGGACCTTCAATCTTCACATGATCTGAAAGACGCCTGCCTTATCGACCAACCCTGCACTTGGAATGACGCAGTGGAGCGGCTGAGAGGAGGGCGTGAAGTAAGGGAGCGTAACGTCTCACCAGGCGCAAAAACAAGTCCTTTGTCTGGCACACCTTCGTCCCAGCCAGAATCACAGTCATCCATCTCTGGCTAGACCGGTCTCTTCCTTGCAATGTGAGTCCGGTTGCGCGAGGATTTGTTGCCAAGGCTGTCTTCAGTCACCAGGCAGCCGTAGGTAGCAACAGGTATCCATCAGGCATCTTTTCGCACAAGTCGCGCCCAGAAAGCGTGTCGTATTATTCGTCAATCGCTGTCTCGCTTTGTCATGCGTGCAGCGGCTGCAGCCGTATCGAAGAGTCTTTTGCTGGCAATCGTGTTTAGGAGAGGCACACGTGACGCCCGGTGACGGGTTAGCGCAATTTTGACGTGCCTTCCTCCTAAGTGCAACCTCACCTTTGCTTGTCCCTCCAAACTCTCGCGCCCGTCGCTCTTTCCCTTCCATGACGGCCATTTCACTACTTAATCAGTGCCGCGCCTGATCTTCTTACTAATTCCACTCTTTACTCTTTTGCTCCTCGCAGCAAACCCCCACCGCGCCTTGTTCTCGTCCGCCCATTCCTTGGCGCGTTTTCCGCGAAGCTCTCATCAACACCTGCCTCTCTAAGAGCTGCAGCGCCTCGAATCTATCAACCGCCCAACAACCTCACGACGCTACAGCGCATTGCTAGCCAACTAGCCACCAGCACACGCGCAACCCGTCGGACACGCTCAAAATGTCCTTCGGCGGTGGTTTCGG